ATGTCCTCGATGTCCGAACTACTCAAGGTGAATACAAGGTCCAGTCTGGACCATCCTCGCCTCTTTCACTGGTAGAGTCTCTAACATGTTGATACATGAGATTTTCCAGTACCACATCCATCATTTTGGCTCTCCATGTTTCGGGACCCCCATGGGGCTCCAGGTTTTCCCAGTCAATCTCCTTGTGATTGAAATCACCCATAACTAGTAACTTTGCTCCCCCCATGTGTGCTCTTCCGGCCACCTCGGCTAGTGTGTCGATCATTGCTCTGTTGCTCTCATCATATTTTTATCTTGGCCTCCTGCAGTTCTGTGGTGGGTTGTACATTACTGCAATTATCACCTTATGTCCCTCAGACTGGATTGTTCCTACTAAGTAGTCCCTTTCGCCCGTGCCATCCATTCCTTTCATTTTCTCAAAACCCCACTGGTTTTTAATGAGCAGTGCAACTCCTCCTCCTCCTCTCCTCCCTCTGTCTTTCCTGAGGATTTGATATCCGGATGGGAAGATTGCATCTGTTATTATTCTGGTGAGTTTTGTTTCTGTGAGTGCTATTATGTCTGGGGATGTCTCCTTGATTCTTTCATGCCACTCCTCACACTTATTTGTTATTCCATCTGCATTTGTATACCACACCTTCAACTTCTTTTCTAAGACTGGTCTGGGAGGTATATTGGGGTTGAGGAAGTGGGAGACCTGATAAGGAACTATGGGTGGTTGCTGTGGGGGTAGAGTTTGTGTGTGTGTGTGTGTGTGTGTGGGTAGTAGCAGTAGTGAGTGTGTGTGTGTGTGTAGTAGTAGTATTAGTAGCCGTAGCAGTATGCGTGTGTTAGTAATCACCTATTTATGATTGCTAGGGTCGAGTCACAGCGCGTGGCCCCGCCTGTTCACAGGTTGCTACGAAGAAACGTTTGTTTCAACCATTTTTCTAAGAGGTTTTATCGCTATTATGTCATATTTGATGACGTCATCAAAATGACGTCATCAAATATAATGACTAAGCAGGTTATTTTCGTCATATATGTATTTTTTTACGAATATTATTAGTTTTGTGTCAGTGGTTAGAAAATATACTTCGTAACATCTTCTCAAGCTATTGGAAGGTACACACAAAAACGATTGTGTCCAGTCAGTTACCCACATAATCCTGATGAGGTTGGGTGTTTCTGGAGAGTTTATCTAGAGAGAGTTTCGGGGGTCAACGCCCCCGCGGCCCGGTCTGTGACCAGGCCTCCTTAGGTCAGTGTCCCAGGATGCGACCCACACCAGTCGACTAACACCCAGGTACCCATTTTACTGATGGGGAACATAGACAACAGGTGGAAAGAAACACGTCCAATGTTTCTACTCTGGCTGGGAATCGAACCCAGGCCCTCACCGTGTGAAGCGAGAGCGTTAACCACCAGGCCACCAGCGCTCCTCAAAATTTTGTTGATTTTGGGATTTTTCAACCGAAATCATGCTACCAGATGCAAACAGTAGAACTGGTGGAAAATTGATATTTTATACTGAGTGAGAGACTGAGGAAGGAAGGAGCATTGTCTCGTATCCACGCGTAACATTTTACTGTTCATCTCAAAAGTAAGTTATTCTCCTCTTTGTAACATTTTCTTCGTTATTTATGAAAAGATTGTTGAGATTTTTGCACACAGTATTCAGAAATCATGGTTTTACATTCCCATAGACTGAATTTGTAATAGCCTTTACGTTTCGTTTGTTTAAAATGGCATAAAACATACAAAATTAAGAATTGAGGTGATACAGCATATGTCTCAGTTCCTTCTATACAATACGTTTTTAGCCTTTGTTCACGTAAAGTAAAGTATAGCATCCCAAACATTATCAGTTTGGCACAAATTTTACTAAGCTGCTTCCTTTTCAAAAATCACTATTTTATTTTTTCTTCTTATTTGTGGGCAATCTTCATAAAACTTCTAGTATAATCAAAATTGGACTATTATTAAAATTTTCCTTGTTGAATCATGCTCCCCACCATAAGCCAGCAGTTACTGTTGCAAGGAGAGGCGAGGTATGACCAGAGCTTTGGTAAGATGGGGGAAAGAAGGATAGGATACGATGGAAATATGTAAAAAGGGTGGGTGGTAGTGGGGGTGGGGAGAAGGGGTTTAATAAAGGTATGTGGCCTAACCACTTTGATACAAGTGTGTGTGTGTGTGTATTGCATTATTCATAATGCATAAAGTTCATAGATGGGGTATACCCTGCTGCCCATCAGCTGCACACAGTTGATGGAAGAAGATGGTTGCTTTCCTCGAGTTGGTGGTCGGCTGAGCAGTTTCTGAGGTGTCCTGGCATAGGATGTTTGCAGATGTTACAAGGTTAGTTATAAAGTGTAATTTGTTTGAAGTCTCCATAAATTGGGTGGGTTTAACCTTGTTGGACGTAGAATGGTTCTGGTGGTACCCATTCTTCTATATCTTCGGGGAGATCACCCAGGATCATTGGTCTCGGGAAGTTTTCCTTGTGGATGAAGCCACGGTGGTCTACCATATATACTTGGAATATACCTGGAGAAGGTATCGGGGGTCAACGCCCCCGGCGCCCAGTCTGAGACCAGGCTATTGGTTTTACCACCTTCACTTGAGATGCTAGACACAATGTCTTGCAGTGCTCTCTCAGAATGGCAGGAGCACTGCAATGACCCATGTCATTTGTCATAACTGACAAATGACATGCGAGGAAAAAAAAAAAACAAAAGCGTGCAATTTGACAAGAATGCGTCTTGGAAAGACGACACAGCCAGTCGACATGGCGCCTGGAACTAGGCACTGGCATGTAATCTGATAAGATTACATGCCAGTTATATAAACACAAGGTTTCCATTACTCCACTTATGTTGTGATTCCAAAATAATCAAGGATCCACTAATCACTTAATCTAATCCCTAGGACCCTAAAACTGCGATTATTAAATAGGTGTTGGCTGCAGTATTGCTAGGGGCCCCTCGCAAGAGCCCAACACCTGTTACATGGTGCCTCTGGTGTCTACGAAACTTTACAGCCTACTCCCGCCCGTTTGAAATAAGTATCCCTAGGCGGGCACTGGGCAAGGGTTGCCAGATATGGTAAAAATATGGACACTTACACAAGTCATTAAGCTATTTTTCGATATAACTCAATTTCCACAATTTTTCGATTTTTTTTTTCTTTTTGAGAGCGCGCGGAAAATTGTCAAAGAATGTAATATGGGTGGATGGGGTTGTGGGCGGGAGTGGGAAGTGGGCGGAGGGGGGCAGATCTGAACTCACTAGGGAGGACATCCTACAGTGGAACACCCTACAGTGTGACACCCTGTAGTGGGACTCCCTACAGTGTGACTCCGAACAGCGAGATTTATCGCTACGCAGACTTACTGTAACAACAAGAATACTTACTACTGTAGAAACGCTAATATTTGCAAAGAAACACAAAGCAAACGTAAAATTCCGCTATACGTTCAGCTATGATACCAGTTCGAGTAGCCAGAAAAAGCTCCTTAGTACGACGGTCTTCTATTTTCGTCTCCCTACCTACAGCCTTTGATGAATAAGACACGTGTTCAACACCTGGGTATCTTTATTATGAAGACGTTTCGCCTGCAAGTAACGTTATCAATTCAATACAGAGGTTATATGAAGGTGTTAAATAAAGTCCCTGGATGGTGAAATATCTTCATAACAAAGATACCCAGGTGTTGCACGTGTGTCTTATTCATCATCTTGTTGGTAATGTATACCATTAATGTGTATAATGGTCTCCAGGACCGGGGTTGTATACCATTAATGCTATCTACAGCCTTTATATACCCTCCAGATATCGTGAGTCTCACCCTACGCAGGTGTACCCCAGGTCAGCATGACTAATAATAAAACATAAGAAAGGAGCACCGCAATAGGCCCACCGGCCCTCCTTCAAGCATGGGATTTTAATTTTAACAATATTGATTGTACTTCTATGATCGGTAATTTGGAGTGCAGTGACTTCTCTGATGTAGCTCAAGAGAACTTTGTGAAGAAGTTTGTAACGGTACCAACCTGAGATAATACTCTGAGATAATACCCTCATAAATAATCTGGAGATCATTGAAGAGATTGATACAAGTGATCACAAATCTATTGCTTTTAATACTACCTGGGAGTATGGGAATGAAGATGAAGAATGGGATTAGAAAAGCTAAACAAGACTATAAAATTAAAGTAGTGAATCAAAGACAAATCTAAAAGGGTTCTTTCAAGCATATAGGACAAAAGTCAGGGAAAATAGGACCACTGAGAACTAGGTCTGGAGAGCTTACCGATAATGAGCAGGAGATATGGCCCCTTTTTTAATAGTTATTTCCTGTCAGTATTCATACAAGAAGATATGCATTAAACGATAACTTGAAAAACGCACAGAAATTCCTCCAACCATCGTATGAGATTCAGTGACGCTTGCCTAGTGATCAAAGAAACAAATTTCTGCAGATGTAAATGCCTTGAATCATCTTTAATCGCCATTTCAGACACCATTAAATGAAGACTAATGGACTGAACACATCGACTTCAGGCTGAGGGACTGATTACCTCAAACTTCTCCTCCACTGTTTCTTAGCATTGAACAGAGAAAGCTGCTGGCTGGCGAAAATCTTCCAGAATAAAAATTCCCAAGTGTCTTATCATCAAAATACAGGTAGCTTCGTCATTTCGAAGAATTAGCAGGAATTCTATTATAGATAATAAACCCTGCCATCACATAGCAACCAGAGTTACCTCCACTTATACCACTATTACTGCTTACAGCTGCCACTACTACTAGGACTATTACTACTACTACTACCACTGGGACAACAAGCCCATATTATGGATGTTCAACACACCTCCAGAGAATCTGAGTAGCTCTGGTACTCGGGCTGCGGCCCAAGTCCAGGAATGGCTCAGAACAGAGCCTAAACCTATAGGCATGAATTACTTCCACCTGTGGATTTATCAAAGGTAACACCACCTACGACTGCTTCACCTCACCTGTCTGCAGTATAGCATCCCCTTCTTTGCACATATGCTGTATTCTTCTCAAGAGTAATGGACTAATTACATCGACTCCAGGCTGGGGGACTGATTACCTCAAACTCCTTATGATCCTCACCGTTCTTCTTTGTATTGGACTGATGAAGGCACTGTGTGGCAAATCGTTTTCACAATAAGGATACCCAAGTGTTGCATATGTGTTTAACTTACCAACCTGTCGGTTCTCTGCAACATTAATCATATTATGTTCATTAAAGTGATTTTTAATAATATCTACTATAACTGATACCAATATTTGCCTATTATAATCCTAATTTAAAGATCTAACAACACTCAACTGAACTAGAGAGAGCACCCACACCTGTCTTAGGTAAGTGAACAACATCCCTGACAGACATATCATTTCTGACAGAGAAGTATTCGCAGTTGTCTATGAATGAATGGTACTGCATTATCCTTACAGAATTTGTCAGCTAACAATCAACACCAGTTGCTCTGGACAACCATTCATTTCTAACACCCCTTCTAGGAAAAATGCCACATATAACAGGGCGCCCTCCCTTCCTAATTATGTCTATTGTTGTCCTATACCTGCTAAGTCCTAAATCCTCATTTCTATACTTGCGAACATCGTTGCCTCCTATACTGAGACAGATAACAACAGGAATGCTCCTGTTACCTTCCGTGATGTTGTTCAGACGACTAACAATATCCTGTATCCCTGCCCCTAAGACAAAAAAAAAAAATCCATAGACTTAACCTGACTGTCTCCAACTAAAACAATAATCTTACCTTCACTGGCTGTGTTCGACGTGACGTTCTCGACGGTCTTTGTAAGGATGGTCTTCGCTGGGATGTCTTCACTGGCGGGTTTCGCCGAGACATTAAAATTGGTCTATCATCCACTTATATACTTCAATATCTCCTCTAATTCTACGTCTCTCAAGAGAGTGAAGGTTCAAGACTCTCGGTCTATCCATGAATGAGAGATTCTTTATATAGTGGATCAATTTTGTCATCTTTCTTTGTATGTTCTCTAATGAACTAATATCCATTCTATGGTTAGGAGACCAAAACTGAGCAGCATAGTCTTCTCTACCTCTTTTTAATATTTACCTTATGGTCAATAAGATTATTCTCTCCTCTTCTGATGTGCCTATAAATTTTTCTCTTGTCTATCTTAACAGATGCTTTAGTCTCCTATTCATCCATTGGGATCCTTATTATGTGACCTAGTTTCTCTCTGGGGAATATATATATATACTTTGGGAACATTGTACATTATTACAAAAAAGTCATAGTTGTAAGTAAGTTTATTCAGGTATACACAAATACAGTTACATAGAATTATCATACATAGCAGCATATGTGTAGAGAACCTAGGATAACCCAAAAAAGTCAGAGTGACTTATTTCCTTCATTATTGTAAGTATAATCATCGTCAATAGAATCATTAGATGGATAACCCCCATTCGAGATTAGACAGATGTTCCCTAAGTCTGTTATAATCTGTAGAACGGAAATCTGGGATTTACACTTATTATTATTCTTGTACTTTCAGATTAAATTAAAGGTAATAGATTTGTGATCACTTGTGATCTCTAGATTATTAACGAGGGTTTCCTTATTTGGCAAGACTATTTCAAGCAAATTATTGCCTCTGGTAGGTTCTGTTACTGTTTAGAAAGCAGTCCTAAACTACTTCAGATTTCCAGTCGAAGAAGTTCAGTCATTTTCACTAGAGTTAAAATTCCCTAGGTGCTCCTCGACTTATGATGGTGTTATGTTCTAAAGAACCCATCGTAAGTTAAAAATATCGAAAGTCAAATATGAATTTTTGATTAATAAATAAATAACTGGCACTGAATAAGTTAACAAATAATTACTGTAATTAAATAAATGCCATATTGAAAGGTAAATAAGTGAATATTACATTATCGTGTTTAGAAGCCCTAACAATTTCGCCCCAAAGATGTCTCACTATGTTGCTTTTTTAAGCTTGGGGGACAGTATATTATACTTAGTTATTTTTTCCTGAATTTCTAGAAATTTTACCCAAACAGATTCTGTGACTAATCCACCGATTTTTATACAATTTATATTCTATTGTACATATAAACCCTTGAAAGTATACTCAGCAATCATGTTTTGACTCTTCAAATTAAACCAGGTCTCAGTTTTTGCAATAACATCAATGCTGCCTGCACATACAACCAGATATACTGTAATTCTTTCATCTTATTTCTGGCACTTTTGGTATTTGTATAAGATATTTTAAGATTATTTTTTGTCTGTACCTTTTCCATTTTATCTTTTCCGTTTCGCAATTTCTGATTTAATTACCTTTATGTTTGCCCAATGTTAAATGATGATTGTTACTCCTAAAATCCACATTATCACACAGCTCAAACCCCTGGTTCTACAATCCATCCCCCCCACACAAAAAAACCATACCACAAACTATTCTAGTTAAAAGCATTAACAGTTCCCTCCACTGCAACTGACCAGTGACCCAATACCAGCCCTAGATAAACTGAAACCCATCCCTGGCAAAGATGTCATTTTTGTATAGAAGAGGTCCTAGCTGCTTATAAATGGTACTTCAATGTCCCTACAGTCTTTGTCCTAGACAACCATTCAGTTCCAACTCCTATCCTTAGCAAAATGCCACACATTACAGGACACTGTCTTTCATTCCTAATTATATCTATTGTTGACCTATACTTGCTAATCAGGTTCTCACTCCTACATCTGCCAATACTGTTGCCTTCAGCACTGAGACAAATAATAGGATTGCTCCCATTACCTCTCATGATGTCCAGACAACTAACAATATTCTGCATCCCAGCCCCAGGAAAACACACCCATTGTCCCCTCTTCCTATCTCTAAGACAAAACATTTTGTCAATAAACTTAACCTGGACTATCCCCAACTGTAACAATGGTCTTACCTTCACTGGCCGTGTTCATCGTGACATTCTTAATGGTCCTCATTGGGATGGTCTTCGTTAACATGCCCTGGATAGCCGATTCACACTCGTCTGATAACAAAGAAAAAGAATTGCTGGTTTCCACAGCAGTTTCTTTGGTCTTCCTTAGTTTCAGCTTCGTTCCATTCATTCCAAACAGCATCCAGTAGTTGATCCAATCATCCAGGGATAATCCTTGCACTTATCTGTCAGCCATTGAATCTTTCTTCTGGCTTCCTCCAATTCTACTTTAAGGTGAAGATACAGTTGCTCATAATCGAGTTAAACCATCATCACAATTTCAGTTATCAATGAGGTATACGAGTGAAAAATGGGCATAAACATAGGCAATGTAAATAAGAATTGTTGGATTTGAGAAGGACTTTTATGTTCTGCTCTTAATGAGAGTCTTTGAGCACGAAATAAACACAGTCCTGTATGTAGGTTGGTAGAATTACCGATAATATGTAAGGTAAAAGGACACAAGTGCAACTAATGTGACATTTTATTGTGGCAACGTTTGGCTGTCCAGGAGTTTTGTCAAGCCATTACAAACAGTATTGCATCACTACTACTACTACAACTTATATCACTACTACTACTACTACTACTACTACTACTACTACTACTACTACTACTACTACTACTACTACTACTACCACTAGCATTGCACCTCACTCTAAGCCTATATATACCCTCTGTGTCCATGTATTGTTAGTAACGGCTTGAGAGCGAAACGTTTCCACAATAAAATGTCACATTAGTTGCACTTGTGTCCTTTTACTGTACAAACACAGTTCTGTTACCTGCGTTACACTTCTTTGTTCAAGTGGTTTCTCACTTTTTTATGGGAATTATTTACATGTTCACTTATGGTGTATAAAGACACGTAAGCAAACACTAGAACATATTTATTAGGAAACATTTCGGTCCTGAGACCTTGATCAAAGTCAAGGTCTCTTGACCGAAACATTTTCTAGTATATGTCAATGTGTTTGGGCACTTGTTATTTTAAAATAATTTGTCGGTTTCATTAACCAATGTTTATACATTATTCTGTTTCCTTTATGTATTATATATTAACATTTAGTTCCATTATGTTGTGGTTATTCATTTTATCTAAAGCCTCTTCTTTTTATTCGTCAGAGAACAAGACAGTATCGCCTGACACAGGTATTAAATGACCCGTTCATTGGTTAAGCATATTCTGACTTACCGGAGCGTCCGTAAAATATTACAATCTTCATGAGTTTCTACTTACCAAGCTATGTTTGCAAGGGTCGAGTCTCAGCTCCTGGTCCTGCCTCTTAAGCTACAAATATTGGCATTATGGATCTTGTATTCTTAGGCCCTGTCATAAAAACTGTTAGATATTGTGTGTAGCAAACATTTCAGTATTATTCGGTGTTACTCTGTTTTGTGTTTAATAATCAGTGTTTATTGTTAGGCTTGTTAATATAACAAGGGATATCTGTCACTGTCTGTAGTTGAAATAGTGTCCAAACTCTCTGTTATAGTAACCATTTATTTATTCTTTATTATTTACCAATTTTATAATACTGTAAGACAGATCTGATATTAAGTGAGCCGAAGGTGGGAAGGAGGTGCTTGGTACAACCTTGTACAAACTACTTACATAACAAACGGTGTGTGTTTCTAGAGTTTGGCAAACTGCGAGTGGCTGCTCTGTTTCATTAACATAATCTCACATACAAACAGATTCTTTCAAGGTCATTTTGAGAATTGGAATTTCTGAGCAATGTCTTGTGTCAGCAACCAATGTTCATTTGTGCATTCTGTCATTTTAACCATGTCATTGAACATAGATGACAGGAAAGGTCGTCGTTCTGAATTTCGTTCAGTATACACAAAGCACTGCTATACTTAACTAAAACATATTTTACATTATATCACTATAAACTTAGTTTCTATTCCATATCTTGTTTAAACAGTCTGAGAGATCTGTCAGGGCTAAGTCGTGTCTGAGAATAATGTGTGCTGTTTTGGGGACACAGCTTATGTGGAGCAGCTTCCGACTTAGTCTTTCGCTGCATCTGTCTTGCGTGAAGTTCACTGAATGTCAGGGGATTAACCCTGACTCAGTTTGACTGAAGGATCTCAAGATTTTGTGAAATGTATCTTTATATGATAAGACTGCAGTTGATCTGAAAATTATTATCTGTGGGTTGATTAACTTATAATTGTCATACAGGTAGGCAGAATTGTAATCAGGGATTATTTCAGTTATGTTCTACACTTTATCAGTAAAGAAAGGTTCATTTTACTCTTCTTGTTTTACTACACCTCTCTACTAATGAATATAAAATGTTCGGTTGTTACTGTGAGATGGTATGTCTACAAGATTTGATTTGGAAGCAGAGACATAGTGTCAGCGTGTTTGTTACCTCTGCAGCGTTGCAATGGGCCACCTGCACTAGGGGGAAGGGTCCTACCCAATAACGGAAGAGGGCAGAATGAAGACTCCATAAATGAGATGCACAAATTACTAGTTGGAAGAGTTCTGAAACGACCAAAGACATTTATAAACCTAATAAAACTCATCACAGAGTAAACAGTCTACCATCACCAACACACATTAACATATGAAAATATCATTCACATTGCTCATGCCTCTTAGAGTCCGCATAATATATATATATCTATAAATGTCTATATATATATATATAATATATATATAAATATAAAATATATATATATATATATATAATATATATATATAAATATACATAAAATATATATATAAATAATTTAGATAATATATATATATATATATATATATATATATATATAAAGAATAGTTATACATATAATATTGTAATATATTATATATATATATATATATATATAATATATATATATATATATATAAATAGACATATAAAAGTATATATAGAATATATATATAGATATATATATATATATTTATATATATTATATAAAATATATAAAATCTATATATAAATATATAGAATATATATAGAAATAAATATATATATCTAGATAATATAAAATATATATATATATAGCTATATATATATATATAGATAAATATATATATAAATATATATATATGTGTAAATAATATATATTATATATATATATATATATCTAATTAATTATAAATTATTATATATATATAATATTTAATATTTATATAAAGTTAATACATATCTATATATAAAATTTAATTATATATATATATATATATATATATATATATATATATAAATAAATATATAATATATAGTATAGATATATATAGATAATGTATATAGATATATCAATAAATATATTAGTAAATAGTATATATAAGAAATAACTAGATATAAATATATATATACATATATTATTAAAATAAATATAGTATAGAAACATATAATACTATATATATATATATATTATATATATATATATATAATATATATATATATATTATATATATAAATATATAATAATAAATATATATATATATATATATCACATCAAAATATTATATATCTATCTATCTATAAATATATATATATAATAAATATATATATATAATTATATATATAATTATATATATAATTATATATATATATATATAATATATTCGGCATGATGTCATAAATAGTAGATATATATATATTATATATAAAGTAGATATATATATATATATATTATAGATATAATATATGGTATAAACCTTGGTAATAAATACCGACAAGTTGGTTTAGAAAGACACGTAATCAAAACACTATAACAAATTTATTAGAAAACGTTCGGGTCCTGGAACCATTCATCATCTAACATACAGAGTAGAACATACCTCTGTAATGTTAGAAGTGATCAATGTTCCAGGACCGAAACGTTTTCCTAATAAATATGTTATAGTGTTTTGATTACGTGTCTTTCTAAACCATATATATATATTATATATATATATTTATATATATATATTAACATATATATATATATATAACTATATATAAAATTATATATATATATATATATAAATATATTATATATATATATATGGATATATATATATATAGATATAAATATATATATATATAATATAATATAAAACTATATAGATAGATTTATATATATATATATAGATATAGATATATATATAAAGATATATATATATTGATAAATTATATATATATAAAATATAGTAAATATAGTATAGATATATAATATAAATATAGATATATATATTATATATATATAGATATATATCTTATATAATAATATAATTATATATATATATCATATATATTATATATATATATAAATATAATATATATATATATATGTCTATAATTATATATTATAAATATATATATATATATAAATATATATATTGTAATTATATATATTATATTATATAATTTATATAAATATATAAATAATATATATATATATAGATATATGTAATATATAATATATATATATATATAATAATATATATATATATAGAATATATATAAGATATATATATATATAGATATATATTATATAGTAATAATAATATAAAAATATATAGATATATATTATATATATATATATCATATATACAGATAAATATATATATAGTATATATAGATATATATATATATATAGATTATATATAATATAAATATACATATATATAAAATAATCTAATATATATAGATATCAATATATATATATATATATATATATATATATATTATATATATAGATATATTTAAATTCATGTATATATATAGATATATTTATAATATATATATATATAAAATATATATATATATATATAAATATATATAATAGTACATATATAATATATATATATATATATATATATATATATATAGATTGGATAAATATATATATAGATATAATATG